GGGGCAGCCACGCACCCACCGCAGTATCCCACGCGCTGTGGACGGGGCCAGCCACGCACCCACTGCAGTATCCCACGCGCTATGGACGAGGAGGGGCTTGGTGGAGGCCTTAGCAATACCTGAACTGTATGCCTCCTTGCCTTGTCTGATGGTAGCAGGGTCCCTGCTGGCTGGCCTGTGGGTCTCATGTGTTAGACAAAGTGAGAAGGTGGCCGGCAGAGAGCAGGGAGCCAGAGTGCACCTCAGATTGCAGCAACTGCAATATTTAAATTACTGATGAGAAGATAAAAGTAGCTTTTCTCTTGGGAAGTCCTGTAGCCCGCAGGAGTGATGCCAGCAGCCACACAGTTCCCAGCAGTGGCACCCAGGTGTTTGGAGGCTTCATCAGCACTTGAGCTTTCTCAGCTACCTCATTTAGGTGCCAGTGGAGCAGTCAAAACCTGCCGATTGTTCTGTGTGAAATTTATTCTGAGGAGCTGTTGAGCATAAATGATGATATGGTAAAGTTATCCTTTATTTTGGAGTTGGTTTCAGATGGGATTTCCGTTGCTTACGGTGCAGAAGCTAGAGGTTTGAGCCGCGTTTCCATTCCTGGCAGTGCTTATTGTAGCCTTCACCTTGGCTTTCATGGAGATCTGTGTTCAGAATGTGTGAGGAGCTGGGAACGCAGCAGCCGTGAGCCCCACCGAGGGGACCAGGACGCACTAACGGGGTCAGTGTCTTCCTGGGTGTTAACGGACAGCTGCTCACACGGTGGTGACTCTGTGGACACTTCCAGTGTTTAATCCAAAATGAAAACCCACCAATGCTTTTGCTAACTTCAGTGCCTTTTGTAAATTATTTTAAAATTTCCTGAACTTGCTTTTTGAGAATAGTGATATTAAGTAGGTGTAAGATTGTTTTTGTTCATAAAAATTCTAAATTGAAGGCCGGGCGCGGTGGCTCACGCCTGTAATCCCAGCACTTTGGGAGGCCGAGGCGGGTGGATCACGAGGTCAAGAGATCGAGACCATCCTGGTCAACATGGTGAAACCCCG